TATTTCATCAAATATTTTTAATCGCGATTATGTATATAGGATATCAAATATTTCATCTTATAGTTTGTACAATTTATTGGAAAAGAAGTAATTCGAATAAAGGAGTGCAAACATTCTCACGTAAATCGCTTTATATACACCGGACCTCCGTAACGCAGAACAGTAGGACAGGTCCGGGTTTCTTGATGTCTACATGACTTTGCTATTTCCTCGATCTCGTTTGCTACGCGTCAACTTCGGTATTATGCGCTGCTCGTCGAGATGCTCTCTTGCATCGTTCAAAAGCAATTCAATGCCTAAATTTCATCGAGCGATACGGGCACAATGACTGAACGCTTCGTAAAGAGAAATCTCGAAATGTTACATTTCCGATGAATCTCTCGAACAAATGATTTGTCGTCATCGTATACCTCTTTGATTTTAGATCGTCCAATATCTCCAATTTGTAAAAAGTACAAACCACTTTCGTAAAGTTTAAGATTAAGGTAAAAATTTTTAATTGCTACCAACTCTTTCATATTCCCTAAATAAAAAATTGTCCAATCCCTTTGAATGAAGCAAAATCACTAGCGGACAATGGACGTGTGGAGACACGTCCCGCTTGGCTGCACAATTACCGCGCAACTGCTAATACCATCTTTCTCGAAAAGTCCCTAGCACAATAACGGTTAGGCAGGAGACAACGCGAGCAATCTTTGGCGGAGCAGAAGAGAATCGGCATAGAATCGGGAAGAAGAAGAAACGCGTTGCACGGCCGTGGCATTGATGATTCGCGCATTCCTCGTCGGATTAATCGATTTAACGGTTGGGAGACGGGGCGAGCAGTGTCCACCGCTATATACCAGCGTTGCTATAATTCGATGGAGTGGCGTTGAGCGTACATCTCTGTTTGGCGCGTCATCCACGTCCGATTCCATTGACCGTGCGTTTTCGCACTGTCACCATGTAACCGTTCACCGAACAGAGAGGACGGAGGATAATACGAACGGATCGTTAATTCCAAGGATACAACATCGAATACAAATACAATACGGAAGCCACACGCTTTCAAAATCGACGAAATATATAAATTATGAAATTTTTATATAAATTATGATTTTTTTATATTAAATCTCGATATCGGCCAGATATGCACGCATATCGCGACGAGAGATCGAAAATTTATATTAAACGGCGAGCCGTATAATAACAGATCGAGACCACGAGGGTTTACAATCGATCCGTATCGCGCATCGAGCGCCAACGTATGACTTGTGCTGTCTCGATCGCGCGTCGATAATTAAAATAGCCGAGCGTTCGTGCGCCTCTCCCTTCTATCTCCTCTATCGCGGACGTTCACCACGGAGAGAAAGACATCAAGCCGCAAATCGTCTCTCCATTTCACGGTTCGTAGCAACGTATTCGCCACGATCGACGTGCACTTGAAATTCCTTCGCGTATTCCAAGGTTGAACGTGTTAACGATCGAAGCAAAATGTCCTTTCGATTCGGCCTTATTCCTATTCTTTCGAAACATCCTCGATTTGTGAATGATCATGTATGTATGTATGTATATATATATATATATTTAGAGTAGGTGGAAGGACAGAGGACCGGTTATCGTTCGATAGAAGAGATTCGAAGAGATGGAAAGTTGGAGAGACGGTTTGAAAACAAAAAACGGCCACCGGCAATACGATGGTGAATGCAAACGATAAGGGTGGAGCGTGGCTGCCGGGTACCGGTTTAACGATGAATTCTCGGTCAAGTTGGCCTACTGCGGACACACGATCCGATCGATAATATAAATTGGCGGGTTCGTTAGTGAAATCAGGTTGACGGGACCGGGGGCGTTTAAACGCGCACCGTGGATGAAACGGCGATAGGTTCGCGTTAACGAGAGAGAGAAGGAGGCGCGAAAGAGAAATGGGTCGGCGTCGGCTCAGGGCATCGCGCTATGTATCTTCCACCCCTTTTCGGCTTCGAGCGCCACCGCTCGAAAAAATGAGCCGACAACGCGCAATGAGAAAAATGATACGGCCGATTTTTTTAAGTAAACAAGCGTGCGTTATTCACCATTTCCATCAATGGAAGATTCAATGGAACAATTAATCCATTCTGTCAACGTGGTTGAATCGTTAAAAAAAAAAATACGTTCGTATGCGTGTCTTCCTTTTTTTTTTTTTTTTTTTTTTTAGTATATCGAAAGAATCATGGTAAATGAAATACGAGGTATAATTGCGGTAATAGGTGATATCTATACCGATATTTCTCTCGCAAGGAACCTACACTCTTCGATACCTGTAGGGTAGTGCACCAGATTACCCGATAAACAATTTCACGTAGAAACCTAGCCTATCTCTATCTCTCGAAGAAACGTGTTATTTTCAAAAAGGGTACGCCCTGCTGCTTTATATTCCGCGTTACATATATTATACAGGCGTCGCGAACACAGACGTATTCTTGATTGGATGGAAGGAAGGATCTAGACCCCGAAGGAAGGAACGAAAACGGCATCGAACGCGGCTAATTGCCACCTCTTTAATATCGTAAAACGGCGATAATTCAACGGTAGACCGTGTAATTAAGCATGATAAGTCACGGTGTTTTACGGAGGAGACTTGGGTATCCTCCTAGAGACGGATACATCATTTGCATTCCCGTGGCGGATTCGAGATGGAAAAGGGGACAAGCGTCGATTTGCCACCGATCTTTCGACCCCCTCCTCCCCCTTTTTCGCGCATTCATCACCGTTTAACCAGGGCGTGTCTGTCGGCGCATCTTCCAACATACGCGCGCGACTCTCCTCTCTCCTCTTCCCCACGTTCGAGGGCAGGTGTGCCATCTCCTCCTAGGGGCAAGTCTCTCCACGCTCCACGATTTTTCGCCAGAATTGGGCATTATTAAAAATAGTAGTTGAAAAATTAACTAGTTGAATAAAGTTACTTTAAATTTTTTTACTTATCAAAATAACTATTTGTTCGTTGTTATTATAGTTGGTCCGTTTTTCGTATTATTATCTTTTGAATAAATTATCGAAGTAACTTTATTCGAATATTAAATTTTGCAGGTGTTGGATTTCGTTTACAGGGATCGATGGAAGGAAATTAACGCGTCACACGCTATCGAATATCGATCGTTGGTCAACTCATTGAATGTGTAATACGATTTGGGTGACAAGAAATGTGGAATTCCAATTCTATAAGCGAATCCGATTCGTTCGATCGATTCTTGGAGCACGATTGTAACGTGTGGCATTCTTCGAGGAGGTCGGCGATTCGACGCGTGGAACTTCGTGCTTCCAACGAAGGGAGAAGAAGAAATACCTTCCAGGTTGGAATTATACCGGGATAAGCTACTGTGCTTTTCCTCCAATTGATGGATCCACTTGAATGGACCACCTAGCTTGAACCCTGAAAAATATGGATTTCAATAAGTAGACGATTTTTAACAAGAAATAAAAGTGAAATAGAAAAGTGAGGTTGAATGAGTTTAAGGATGAAGAAATTCGTTCGAAGTAGAATTTACCCAAAAGAGAAGCTAATTCCTGTTTCATTTGTTCATACGATATATATTTGTAAATTTGCTTAGTTCATCGGGGAAATTGGTTTCAAGCGTATCACATCACTGAAAAAACATTATTATTATTATTATTATTATATATAATATATTATTATATTAGTATAACAAATAAATTGGTGAAAAACTTACGGATTATAATGGAAATCATTGCCCAATGATTGCTTTACGTTTCATTTTTGCATTCCAAAACGATGCAAACAAATCCTAAAATTCCTCCTCCTCAAAATTATGTCTCATCATCAATTTAACCACTGAAATTAAAAAATACATACGCTAACATAAAAATATCCATAGCGCGAATTCTCTTCAATCAAACGACGACAAAAACAACTCGTGTCCTTCTATTCTTTGGTTCCTCGTCCAAAAGGATTTTCATTATTCGTTATTCGAAAGAAACGACGATTTTCCTCGAGGAGCTCGAATCGGGCAGAAATCAGCGGCGTCGCGTCGTGGGCCGAAACCTCTCTCGTGGCAAGATAGTAAGTCAGAGTTAAGGTAGGTCGGGGCGTAACCCAGGATCAAACGAGTCAATAACTCGTGGCGTGCCTCCTCCACCTACGATGAGATATCGGGTTTGCCGCACAATGAATGTGGGTGCGCGTGTATCGTGGAAAGGTTGATATGTCTTCATGGAACCTCGAAACCGACATTCCTCGTCGACAAGCGACGCAAAAATTCTGCTCTCTCTCTCTCTCTCTCTCTCTCTCTCTCTGCTCGATCCAAAACTATTTCTAACCGCGTTCCTTTCCATTGTCCCGCCTCGCTTTCCATTGGATAATCTTGCTCCATGAAGGTAATTCGGTGGGAAGCTGAATATGCACGTGTTCACTGATGTTGTGGGAGGTTGGAAACGAAGATCAAGATATCGAGAACTTTGAAAGGTACGTAGTTACGTAGCCGGGACAATAAAGGCAGAGACAAGGTTTCTAGAGTTGGAGCAGAAGGATAATTCAACCATCTGAGACTTCGATCTGGAACAGAAGATTGAGATTAGAATTATATGAAGCAATTTATTAAAAAGGATTAAATAATATTTATCTATAATACTTGCTATAATTGATCCGCTCTTCATATGTGTGTATTCGATTTCGCTTTGAATAATATATAATAATTTTGCCTCAATCTGAAAGAGTTGAGAAAGAAAAGCTTGAAGAAAAGCAAGTTCGAAGTTGAATCATTTATCAAAGGAAGAAAAAAATGCAGTTGCTCCTTCGCTATTTGATTGACGACTTTGAAGTTGGATTTACGAATAGGAGAAACTTTTCATCAAATAAGGAGAAACGCATCCTCTCTTCCTACCTTACCTTTCGGTTTCGAGGTACACGTGTATCACACGGGTGCATAGAACGCGAAGCGTGGCTGCGTGTGGCACGAGACAATAATAATTCATAGCTCCGGGGCACGCAGCACGCAGCACCTATGCCCGCGATTCTAATCCTCTGGCCAATTTGCACACAGCGCCGTAAAATAAAAGGAGCACGAGCTGCACGACCATACAGTCCCTTTTGGATCGGCCAAACGCGATTCGTAGAAGAGGATTCGCAGCGGTGAGCCGATTCCGAAAAGAAAAAAGGGGGCGACCAACGCTGCCGGATGTCTCTCAAAAGTGACGACGGGCTTCCATTGTTGAGGTGAGCATCGAGAACAGCAAGCCTACGGAAAAAGTTTTGGTTTCATTTCGTTGATCCATGATTCTTATCTTAATTTTATATCGATTAATCCAAGTATAAATGATGAAAATAAATACTCTTGCAATTCTTCATCGATGAAAGTTAATGATTAAGATAACGGTTCTCTCAAAAGTGACGACGGGCTTCCATTGTTGAGGTGAGCATCGAGAACAGCAAGCCTACGGAAAAAGTTTTGGTTTCATTTCGTTGATCCATGATTCTTATCTTAATTTTATATCGATTAATCCAAGTATAAATGATGAAAATAAATACTCTTGCAATTCTTCATCGATGAAAGTTAATGATTAAGATAATTTCTTCCATTTTCTATCTTAATAAATTAATTTTATCAAAAAAAAAAAAAAAAAGAAAAGAAAAGGCTCTCGTTTCTATTTATCTCTCGTTGCCACTGTTTGGAATCACATTCATATAAATCGTATTGTATTTCGTGTACGTTACGTGATCGCCGCATCGATAAGAAATATCAATAAGTTTACGTAAGTTTTTCAAGGCAAGCAAATATTATTCACTTCACTTTTGTCGTATTTCGTTCCTTTTGCGTAGTTTTCAAGGATGATTGAAAGTTACTAACTGGATATATCGTTTATTTTCAACCATTATTTCCAATCCATTCTTCGTTATGGAATAAAAATGTTCGATTTTTGCAAGTTATAAGCTGTAAAAATAATACGAATCGTCAAAATTGTCTAAAAATTATAGCTAAATGATTTACTTATAAATCCGTTTTCCTTATGCAAGAGAGGCCTGTTGTAATTCATAATGATTTATAAATACAAGAGTGGCAAAATTAAAAGATACCATAAGTGTATTATAATGTTTACAAAGAAATTCGAATATAGGAAAACAATGATATATCGATAAAAAATAGAAACTTTTCGTACCATCTCTCGCACCTCCAGAATCCCTTCATTTTCAGAGAAGTTCGAGACGCAGGAAAAGAATTCTTTCGAAATGAACCCTTTCCTCGGGACAAAATTTTGGAAGGCGTGGAATGGGCCATGAAACCATGAAGTGTAACGTTCATCCGCGCGGAGGATGAATTCCTAGAGCGGTCAAAAACCCGCAGAAATCGGCCCAGAGACGGCCCCAATGAGTAAACCTTTCCTTAATAAACGGCCCTCACAGCTATCACGAGAACGGTCGAGAGGGGACCGCGGGCGAGGACCTAACCTCTTCCTCGTATCGAACGTCTTTTTCGAGTGGCGCTTCTCGTCTACAAGCTCGAGGCGAAATTTCGTGCGGAAAAAGAAGAGCGGCGAAAGATGCCTCCCTATGAGGAAGGCGAAATGTCGTTGCACCGAACTGAGACGGCGATTAATCGACGTGCAGGAGGATAAGTCGGCGTAACAACTTAATGGGGGTTTCTTCGCATCCATCCACGCTGCCCTCGAGCTCAGAACGTCGCGAATATGCCTTTTCGTTCAAACCTTTCATTCGCCGAAAACAATGGAAACCTGGAAATTAATTCGTAACCTATGATTATTTTTCCCAACACGAGTCGTGTTTTTAAGCATCAACTTTGTATTCAAGATGTACGAGTTGGAAAAGAAGGTTATGTATATCACGAAATATTCCACACTCGTGATTCGAGGTTAAAGGGGAGAAAAATTTTCGATTGAGTTAATAATACAGACCTATTGAAACCATTTGTATCAATTTACTTGGCGAAACAGAACTCTTTGGACCCACCAAAATATAGTTAGTCAATAGTATACACAATCATAAGGTATTTACGATGCGAAATAATTTATTCGATTAATTTATTCTTCTTTGTCAGAATGACATAGTATCGCCAGTACGTTTGCTTCGATAAATTGTGATCCGTTTGCAACTGTTGTAGGAAACGAGTTGCACGCTGATTCGATATTATCGTTCACATCTGTGGAGCCGCGGCGAGAATATTATAAGAGAAATAATTCACTTGTACTTTCTATCCTTCCCACTGTTCCTTGTACACACGTCTTTTGCCAGAGTTTCGAAATTAGTCGCGTACAATCGATCGATCAATCTCTCGCGAGATGTAACATGGAGAACAGTGGTATAATTACCAGATGCACAACTGTTCAATGCGCAGCAGTATCGCGAAATCGATCTATCGTAATCGCAATTATTCGATCCAGCAAAACTTTTAATCGATTTACGTTACTGCTACGCGATCTCGTCACGTTTGTATTTATTGTCTTGAATTAACGTTTCAATTGTTAAAGCAGCACGATGATCCGCGATATCGGATTTATTATACCTCGTTTTGTTCAAATTAATGTGATATTTCAAAAGTTAGGAGAAATATTCGATGATTCAGTTTGAAAGGATGAAACGATCAACGATACGAATATTCGAAAATTGAAGGAAAGACCAACGATCATCTTAACGCTACAACTGATTTGTAACATCTATTTTATCTATAAATTATTGTGATTAAAGTCGTGAAAATAAGTAGATACATGTAATTACATTTCTATCTCTAATAAAAGTTAGGTTAAGTTAGAAAGAAAATCGCCGCAGCACCTGTTCACGATTCTTGCGAAAAGTTGACGAGAGTAAACGGAGCGCAAACTTAATTGTCGACGGCTGAAATCTCTGAAACGGGCACTGACCTTCCCTCGACGAGTCCTCGACGAAGCTGTCGCGATTCCGCGCACTCGAGATACGCGCGCAACGAAGGTCGTGCGAATGCTTAATCTCGTGTGTGATCGCGCGCGGGGAGGAGAGAGTGAAGAGTCGAGATAAAGCACGAAGAAAGCCGAGTGGTAGGAGGTTAACTAGCATCGATCTCCAAAGAATGGAGAGAACTAGAAGCGGCAATTAACTCGAGTTCCAGTATCTCTGCTCGTCTTACCTTTTAACCGTAGTTTTAACCGTGATTGCGCTTTATCCACGGATACGTCCTTTTTTACACTCGACTCCTTACCATCGTTTCATTCCCATGTCGCGAGATCGTAATCTAGGTTATGTCATCATCAACGAGATTCTATCTGTCGCTCTCTTGTTGAAACGGTAGTTATACGAAGATAGAAAAAAAAAAATAATCGTGTTTCCATCCTCGATGATGAATCGATGATGAACGAGATTTGAATCTCGTTTCTTCTAGGTAGATTTCGTATTCTCGGAATCAAAGTTAGACGCCAATTGAGAATCTTGAATAAACTTACTTTAAGCGATTACTTATTAACATGCTTGAATAACATTTATTCATGGCTATTATATTTGATCCGCTCTTCGTATAACTCTCGGCCGTTTGGCAGTACAGTTATCCGCGATTATTCGATGCTTCGAATAATAAATTATCGAAGTAACTTTATTCTTAATTTCAACTATTAAAATTCTGTCCAGCTCGAAATACATACTGCAACGAATGATATATGACTCGCGTTCATTTTATTTTATTAATTTTGCAATAAATAAATATTCAAGTTCTATATGTATCAAATTTCGTCGAATATTCATATACTCTCGATCGATTCGATCTAATATCTACTCGAAATGGTTCTCTTGAGTTCTCCAACCATCATCGATCGGAGAACAGAAGCGTCGTTTAAACGATCGGTTGGAAAAGGAAGAAAAAAAAAATGGGAAGGAACAACAGGTTCTATCCCCCGATAATGAACATTGTTCGTGTCGAGAGCATCCTCCTTTATTCGGTCCTCCTTCTCGCAGTCATCGAGTTGACTTATTCGCGCTCATTGTCGCCATTCCAAGTCCCGAGGGGAAGAGAGAACGAGAATGTGACGCTGGCTAACCAGGAAAGTCGAGGAGGCTTCGACCTAGGAATTTATCACCGCTACCGACAGCCATTAATATGGCATTGTGCGGCCGCGGACACCGGCAGTGGCTCGTCCATCTTTTCGTGACGCGTTAACGACTGACCTTTACCGGCCAAGGACAGCTTCCCGAGCTACGTGGTACACGCAATTGTCACCACCGACTCGCGATCCAGATTCTCCTTCCAATCGTTCGTCTCTCTATGATAGATACGCGAAGATCAATTTCTCGATCGAGCATCAAATATCGAATATCTTTTTGCACGGTCGATTCGAACAAATTTACATTTAGAGATTTATAAAAAATCGGGAGGACGAGCGACGTCAATTATTTTCGACGTGTAATGGGATTCCGATTGAATGACAGGCTGTTATAATCACGATTGTCGAAGAAATCTTTATTGGTGAATGTATTTATAGCGTATTCGTTAATGAATCGAAGATTCTATACGGTTTCCTTGTGCGGAATGCTTTATTGTTAAAGCCTGTAGGGCTTTAACATCATTACGATTAATTGAACGAGAATAATAATCAGAAGAATCTAATAGATATATAAGTTCCATTTTAAAAAAATTAAAGGATTAAATAAAATGGATTATTTTAGGAGAAAAAGGAGAAGAAATTTATGCATATTATATTTATTTTCGTTGGAAGAAAGCGATGGCACTTTCAGATTTTTATCAGTATCAATTTACAAGCAATACAAATGAGATGCGCGGCACCTCGATCATACCGTAAGATGGGGGTGAAGTCTATGCGAAATCCGACAATTACTAATTTGCCGATGCTGGTATAAGATATCCCGATAAATCTCGCATTATCCTTCGCCTATTGCTTCGTGTGAGTGCCGTTTAATGGAGAGAACGTTTACTTATATCCGTTTAAGTATACATATGGTGTCCTCCAGAAATCCATCATAATCGTTACCGACTGACGATATTCAACTATCTCTCGCTCTTCCGCCATTTCATAATCCGATATAATCTAATCCGCGAACAATTTTTTCGTTTATGTTTAAGAAAAAGTTTCGCTTCCTTAATTAAAATGAAAATTGATTTATTCAAAACGCGTTATATTTCATCGAGTTCACTGTGTATGCGTGTGTGTTGCACGCGCTTGTCAAGATCTATGCGGAAACGCTTAACTTATGAACTCATCCGGCGGATTGCCGGCAATATACCACAGGACCACGTGCGGCACACTGAATAGAAACGTCTTTGGACCGAACGATGTGGATTCCCGCCGTTGGATCTCTTCGTTTCCTGGATCATTGCCAAGGTGAAAACATCGGTACGTCACAGTCACCGCGCATGCGATGATTAATGATCGTTCGACAGTGCGCGGAGCGGATCGATGCTTCACTCGCACGTTACGACCAACCTAACCTCTACGTCTCGAGTAATCCACTGCTACCGATCGGTACCGCAAACAAAACTGTACTGGGAATTATAGTTCGGTGACCTGTTTCCTTATATATCGTCGAACATATTGTACTGATTATAGAGAATCAATAACACTTTGCGAAAGAATTCTTGGAGGATTCAAAGAGAATTCGAAATTGTTGGAAAGGCAAATTTCACGGAAAAACTGTTATATTAAATATTCACGCGCGTAACACGGAAGTACAGAATCGTGGCGATTTAACGATTCATTTTACACAGGAACGAACACTTTCGTGTCGCGAATCTTACTTTTGACTTGGTACCTCTTACGGACAATAAGATCTGGCAAGCGGAACAATGTTTCTGAATTGTCTCGTTACCGAAACCGTGAATTACGATTGCTCCTGCCCTCTCGCGTCGCGGAAGCTTATTAACATTTTTTGCTCGGAGCCTTGGCAAATAATAACGCTTCAAAAAACGCCGCATACGAATTAAAGTCGTTCGAGTAGTCCCGTAACACGCGCGTATCCGTGTAAATTGGAGCATATATATACGAGTACCTTTCAAATCGATTTTTTTATATTTAAACATAGGGAATCAATATTAATTGTTCGCAAATATATATTTCGTTTCACAGTAGATGAAAATAAATGTCTAATCCTATTTTAAATCTTTTAGAGGTTAGATTGCAACGAAAAGCATTTGTACTTACGTATGTATTTTGTTTTTTCATGAAGTTTCTTTATTTTTTCATCATGTATTTATATCATATAGCATATTTTTCCATTCATCAAATAAAATTGAACGTACGTACGTAAGAACTCAATATTGCGGTTCCAGAAAATTGTGTAACTACGCGTGTGTATGGATGGGATGAAACGATACCGGAAGGATGTTGCGTAAACGGAAGTGCGTGCGAGGCTTTTTGTTTCTTCCATTCTTATTGAGGGATGCACCTGACAACAAGTTGTCGATACAATGGCCCGGCTGGAAGTAGAGTGAATGGATAAAGGATACGAAAAATTACAAGTCTCCAAGATCCGGACTTGCGTCATACCGTATCCTGACCGCGGATAAACGTCATAAGAACAATGACCGCCTCGAGCAGTGAAAAGAAAAGCAAACCGCTAATCGACCAGAAGTCGTTAATTTAACAAATTTAATTATACATACCATACGCATAACGTTTAAAATTTAATTTTATTTCAAAGATACAAAAGAACCCGATCGGATTCCTCTATTTTTCGTTCCCGATGAAAATCCCTGGATACAAAATCGTGAAAAAATC